CCAAAGCATGCTTGCGATAAACTTCAGACAAGCCACCAGACATTGTGTCTCAAACAACCACAGTTTGACTAAGGCTATGCTGCTTAAACAACATAGGGAATGGTCTGCTTATCGCCATGACTATCCGGCGGATAATACTAGGTCCATTGTAGACAGTTGGGAACTGCAGATTCATGTGTGTGTGCCGCTTGATGGACTTATAATAAATGATAAGTAACCGAGCCAACGGGTATGTAATACTTTAGATACGCCATGTAGGACAGATAATGTTAGAAACCGCGCTCTTAAAATCCGATGAAACGCTGAAATGCACAACTTGGAATAATATTAGCTGACGGGAAAATTCTATCCTTCTTCTTTATGTGATCTTTATGGATCTACTTTGTCAAGATAGTTCGGCGGTTTGGGTATGAACCGACACTTGTGTTGCATGCGTATATGTCATTCTGCTAGTTTAGGTACTGTGTCGCGCCCATTTTCAGTCGACTTGATCCTATAATATACTACGGTATCAACAGGCACCATGAGATACATTATATGAAAACCTGATTTAGAAGGGAGACATAAGCACAAACAGACCTACTCTCTTGTGATGGCTGAAATGTCCCCTGTACTTTCGATTGGGTCCTAATAGTGGATCGAGCTGCTGATTGAATTTTGCAAACTGCCCCAAGTTTCTGCTATAGAGCGCGTCCCATCATTGAACTCTGACACTGGGCGTCGAGGTTTCGTCACCTTATCTACACACAGCTCCAGTGGTTTGAACAGGTTCCTGTCCTTGAAGCGCTGTCAGAAAACTTTCAAACCCGTTGGTGAACTAACAGAAACGTGCACTTTTACTTTTCTAGGGACTGTTCCACTGGAGTGGCCTCCCGCCTTTGCGAAAGCTGTTTTTTTGCAAGTATCCACACAACGCACAGTTATCAGATAAGCAATTTGGCACTATTATCCTAAAGTAATGCACGCGTCAGTCTCCGCCCATCATCCACCCTGCTGTGGAGCGCACAATGTACATAGTCGGTAACGGAGGTCTAAATATT